AAAGTGTGTAAAAATGCAAAGACTATAGTCTTTTGCGTGAAAGTGTGTAAAAATGCAAAGACTATAGTCTTTTTCATTAAAGTGTGTAAAAACGCAGACTATAGACTATAGTCTTTTGCATAAAAGTGTGTGAAAATGCAAAGACTATAGTCTTTTGCAAAAAAAGTGTATAAAATGCAAAGACTATAGTCTTTTGCATAAAAGTGTGTGAAAATGCAAAGACTATAGTCTTTTGCATAAAAGTGTATAAAATGCAAAGACTATAGTCTTTTGCATAAAAGTGTGTGAAAATGCAAAGACTATAGTCTTTTGCGTAAAAGTGTGTAAAAATGCAAAGACTATAGTCTTTTGCGTAAAAGTGTGCAAATATGCAAAGACTATAATCTTTTGCGTAAAAGTGTGTAAAATGCAACGACTATAGTCTTTTGCGTAAAAGTGTGTAAAAATGCAAAGACTATAGTCTTTTGCGTAAACGTGTGTAAAAATGCAAAGACTTTAGTCTTTTGCGTAAAGGTGTGTAAAAATGCAATGACTATAGTCTTTTGCATAAAAGTGTGTAAAAAAGCAGACTATAGTCTTTTGCGTAAAAGTGTGTAAAAATGCAAAGACTATAGTCTTTTGCATAAAAGTGTGTGAAAATGCAAAGACTATAGTCTTTTGCGTAAAAGTGTGTAAAAATGCAAAGACTATAGTCTTTTGCATAAAAGTGTGTAAAAATGCAAAGACTTTAGTCTTTTGCGTAAAAGTGTGCAAATATGCAAAGACTATAATCTTTTGCGTAAAAGTGTGTAAGAATGCAAAGACTATAGTCTTTTTCGTTAAAGTGTGTAAAAACGCAGACTATAGACTATAGTCTTTTGCATAAAAGTGTGTGAAAATACAAAGACTATAGTCTTTTGCAAAAAAGTGTATAAAATGCAAAGACTATATAGTCTTTTGCATAAAAGTGTGTGAAAATGCAAAGACTATAGTCTTTTGCATAAAAGTGTATAAAAATCAAAGACTATAGTCTTTTGCGTAAAAGTGTGTAAAAATGCAAAGACTATAGTCTTTTGCATAAAAGTGTGTAAAAATGCAAAGACTTTAGTCTTTTGCGTAAAAGTGTGCAAATATGCAAAGACTATAATCTTTTGCGTAAAAGTGTGTAAGAATGCAACGACTATAGTCTTTTGCGTAAAAGTGTGTAAAAATGCAAAGGCTTTAGTCTTTTGCGTAAAGGTGTGTAAAAATGCAATGACTATAGTCTTTTGCATAAAAGTGTATAAAAATGGGAAGAGTATGGTCTTTTGCGTTAAAGTGTGTAAAAATGCAAGGACTATAGTCTTTAGCGTAAAACTGGGTAAAAATGCAAAGACTATAGTCTTTTGCATAAAAGTGTATAAAATGCAAAGACTATAGTCTTTTGCATAAAAGTGTGTGAAAATGCAAAGACTATAGTCTTTTGCGTAAAAGTGTGTAAAAATGCAAAGACTATAGTCTTTTGCATAAAAGTGTGTAAAAATACAAAGACTTTAGTCTTTTGCGTAAAAGTGTGCAAATATGCAAAGACTATAGTCTTTTGCGTAAAAGTGTGTAAGAATGCAACGACTATAGTCTTTTGCGTAAAAGTGTGTAAAAATGCAAAGACTATAGTCTTTTGCGTAAAAGTGTGTAAAAATGCAAAGGCTTTAGTCTTGCGTAAAGGTGTGTAAAAATGCAATGACTATAGTCTTTTTCATAAAAGTGTATAAAAATGCGAAGAGTATGGTCTTTTGCGTTAAAGTGTGTAAAAATGCAAGGACTATAGTCTTTAGCGTAAAACTGAGTAAAAATGCAAAGACTATAGTCTTTTGCCTAAAAGTGTGTAAAAATGCAAAGACTATAGTCCTTATCATAAAAGTGTGTAAAAATGCAAAGACTATAGTCTTTTGCGTAAAAGTGTGTAAAAATGCAAAGACTATAATCTTTTGCGTAAAAGTGTGTAAAAATTCAAAGACTATAGCCTTGCGTAAGAGTGTGTAAAAATGCAAAGACTATAGTCTTTTGCGTAAAAGTGTGTAAAAATTCAAAGACTATAATCTTATCGTAAAAGTGTGTCAAAATTCAAAGACGATAGTTTTTTGTGTAAAAGTGTGTAAAAATTTATAATTTACACATCCTGTACATTAATGAAACAGCCACCATTCAACCATGTTGACATCCTGTACATTAATGAAACAGCCACCATTCAACCATGTTGACATCCTGTACATTAATGAAACAGCCACCATTTAATCATGCCAACATCTTCAACATTAATTAAAGAGCCACCATTTAACCATGTTGACATCCTGTACATTAATGAAACAGCCACCATTTAACCATGTTGACATCCTGTACATTAATGAAACAGTCACCATTTAATCATGCCGACATCTTGAACATTAATGAAACAGCCACCATTTAACCATGTTGACATCCTGTACATTAATGAAACAGCCACCATTTAATCATGCCGACATCTTGAACATTAATGAAACAGCCACCATTTAACCATGTTGACATCCTGTACATTAATGAAACCGCCACCATTTAACCATGTTGACATTCTGTACATTAATGAAACAGCCACCATTTAACCATGTTGACATTCTGTACATTAATGAAACAGCCACCATTTAACCATGTTGACATTCTGTACATTAATGAAACAGCCACCATTTAATCATGTTGACATCCTGTACATTAATGAAACAGCCACCATTTAATCATGCCGACATCTTGAACATTAATGAAACAGCCACCATTTAACCATGTTGACATCCTGTACATTAATGAAATAGCCATCATTTAACCATGCCAACATTCTGTACATTGATGAAACAGCCACCATTTAACCATGCTGACAACCTGCACATTGATGAAACAGCCACCATTTAACCATGTTGACATCCTGTACATTGATGAAACAGCCACCATTTAACAATGTCGACATTTTGAGAATTGATGAAATAGCCACAATTTAACCATGCCAACATCCTGCACATTGATGAAATTGCCACCATTGAACAATGTTGACATGTTTGTTTGGCTAACACTGTTTCACTGCTTTTTCGGCAGTCAGGTTACAGTATTTATTTTCTATATAATGCCGCTATTACGCTTTTCAACAGAGCAATTACAGTTAAATTGCACTGCAATCGACCAATCACAGTCAAGAAATATCTCAAGGTATATTATATTATTACCTAAAGCACTATACTCATTCTTGCTGATAATTAACTTTCCTCATTCAAAAAATCCATTGTTTTCATTGTTTTTACACACTGGATGATGCAAATAAACACAGCAAAAACAATCCCAATCACAACATACTTATAAATCTGTTCTTTTAACAGCAAGTGAATAAAGTATTATTTTCTGCCCACTGAGGAAAAAGACGGAAAATGTTTTCTCACACTCTTGGGAGCCTGATTGTGAATCAGTGTGGTGAGTTAATGTAATTATTTATATATTTATTCATTATCAGTTTTTTTGTAATCCTGTATAATCTAGTTAGAGGGCCACAGGTTTGTCAGCTTTTCAGCTGTTACGTGTCCCCCTCTTCAAATAAAGTCCTTATTATTATTATTATAATGGTGTAGGTTATATTGAGCACATTTTGTTGTTGCATCTGCACAGCTTTACTAGGGTACCACCTGCCGCCCGCCCAGATTGAACACTACAGGCATATGTATATTGGCAGTGTGCGACATAGTTCAGAAAAAACGGAGTGCAATTTTTTTGACAAAAGTGTTTCTTTAGAGGCGTAATCAAATCGATATTACATTAATTATTATACAGCGCTAATTGCTAAAATAATATTTTTTAACGTGAACAAATTCATGATTTACGACAGTGTTTTTCGTTACAACAGCTGATCCAGATACAAATGTAGGAGAGAAAATTTTTTCGCATGTTATTCTCTCCTCTTTTTTGTGCAAACTTTACAGCGCAATAAATTCACCACTTGGCCATCATCCTAGTAATCAAACAAGTCAGCATTTTATGTTTCCATCCATTTTTTTACTGTATTAACTTTGCTTGTAGCTACAACCTTTCGACGAAAATAACAAGAAAGACAAAAGTGAAAAGAGAATAACCGAATATACTTTTGCTTTCTGATTATTAACAGTTACTTCCTTGATGTTTGCTTACGATAAAAAACATCATATTTATGTCATATTACAAAAAAGTATGGCTGATCAAGTTTGCCAGTTTGGCTTAATATTTTGAGCCAAATTTGGTTTTTTTCTCACATTAGGCTTATTTAAAATCAAAATTCCCTTTGGTTTACTCTTCAAATTTGGCTTATTTAGGTTTTTTCTGTCTTCTTTAAGAATCAAAATCAAAATGTTTCCCGCTTTTCATGAAAATACTCAAAATAGCTATAATGCCAAAAACAGTACGTAACGGTTTACAAAACAATGAAAATGCAAAAATTTACCTTAATAATGTATGACACCCCTATTGTCATAAGCATATAAGCACCATGTATGTAGACTGTTGACAGACTTCCCAGTCTCAGTGACAACGTCTTTAAAATTTGATGACATTGTGCCAACATGGATTTTAATGTCGTGCAGCGCACTCGTTTATAAAGTAAAGATCAGTAAAGATTAAACTTGAAAACTTTTTTCAATTTATGTGGTGGTAATCAATAAAGAAGTTTTTTGCATATCGTTTGAAAAAGTGATGTGCAATTGTTTTCATTTTAGCTAAAACGATGAGCAAATTGCACATTGCACACTGTTAATTCGCACACTGTATATTGGTAACTAAGACTGTTGAGTTTAGGCTGCTACTCTTAGGAGCAGGGTTGCTTAGACCATGTAATGGTAGCTGTATTAACTATTTTTATGGGTGCAATAAATGTGAAGCTTGCGGTGGATTGGCTGCAGCAGCCCAGTTGTGTGTGAAAAGCAAATTTTCATTTTACTACATGGAACGCATGATGCAAATAAATTACTGATTATGGTAACAAAAGAAACGTAGTCAACGTCTCCAAAAAATCTTTTATATTTCATTATTATTCAACTTAATACAACTACTGATCAAAACCTAAAGCAAATTTGTAATAACCAAGCAATTTTTCATTAGTTATAAGCTTATTTTTTGCCAGTAGCGTAGCCACAAGTCAATTTCTAGCATTGTATTATTTCAACTGCATGACACAAATAAATAAAACAGCAACAATTATAATAATAAAAGAAAGGTCAATTAATCAAGCGTTCCATTTGTTTTCCCTAAACTCAACTACAAATCTCAATTTCCATTTCATATGAGCTCCAACCATCTTAACACAAACCTCACTATAATCCAACAAAATTAAACAAGTTCTAAGATGAGTGCTGGTGATATTCTTTACACATCATTTTCATCTCCAATAACAACTATAATGACTTGTATTTTCCACTTCACAAACTTATCTGACTTGTGCTTCAAATGGCTGCTCCAGGTTGGGAGACATGTATTGTTCCAAAAACCAACTATATAAATGTATTGTATCAAAGCATTAGATAAACGAAGAATGTTTTAAACGTAATGTCATGTTTAAACTTTCTTCCAAAAGAGCAGAAATCTTGTATTGAGATCTGATGTGCCTACAAGTTTGACATACTTTTATCTCCCCCTGACCCATTTCCCAATCTTAATTTTGCCAGATGCATGAACAAAAACTTCCTCTTCCAAAGCATATGTTATTTTTTAACTATTTCTATCAAAATAATGTCGCTTACCCGACGTCAACAAACTATACGGTCTGTACAGCTCAAGACAGACATTAATCATTAAAAGTATTTTTTTCATTTTTAAACAAGACTTATATAATTTGCATTATTAAATTTGATATAGAATAAGAGAGAGAAAGCATTTTTAATCTTTACCATTGATTATGATGATGACGATCCTTTCTCATCGACTGCTCACAAACAATCATAGGACTCATGATTAAAAATCCACAGCTAGCAGTGACAAGAAATGAAAATTACATTTCATTGTATCACAAGAGTTAAACGATTTGTCTTGTTTTTTAACCGTTTTACCTTCAAGTGTTTTCTTCTCCCTTTATTCTAATTTTTGGTTTACTGTATAGCGGAGGGAGAAATAATTGTCACACTGATTGAAATAGATAAAAATACTGAAATATAAACGACAAAAATTCTTTCTGTTTCTCAGGTCGAAGGAACGACGGGAAAAGTCGACAAGTAACGAAAACTTTACGACCAGTTACGATCCCAAACAGTAAGCATAGCATAGCAGCACAGATATCAGTTGTTCTTGCACTGTGACACACAATCAATTTGCTTAAATACACTCTTTGATTCATTGTTTTGGACAATATTTGTCCAGGAAAGATTTGCACATCGTAAGAAAATATACGAAAAACGGATTTCTGGCCAGCCTATTATATAAATTCAGAAAGAAAAAACTTTTTGTCTTCATTTTTTCAAGTCCAAGGCAAACACTGTTTCATGATACATTTATAAAATTATCGATTTGAAGGACGACGTGACATGCGTACCTATTTTATTCACTTATAACGTAGACATGGATGATCATTTATAACAACGAGGACAAATTTTTATTTTTATTAAAATGCATGCTTTAATGTTTATTTTTAGTATTGTTTGTTAGTTTACGACCAAATGCGATAGATTTGTTTGCTTATCAACCCTATTCTGCAGATGTTGTGAAAGTAAGAACAGCCTCCACTCCGTACAAGATCGCAGCAATAAAACCGCAAACCTATGAAATAAAACAGAAGTATTTAAAGTCTGCTTCTCATTAAGCACAGCGTACTAACCACTCTGCCTTTACAATAAATTTGACTACGTTTAACTTCTACAGTCTACATTTTTTATTCTTTAACTTCTTACCATTCCACCAATCAATTGACCACAGGTGTAATCATATTTCCTGTTTGTGTCGCCATCTCAAACTTCACATACAGACTTAGAAAGTCCTAGAAAGTCTTCATCCTTGTTGTACGAAGAGAAGACAACGTTAACGAGGCTCGTGGTGACCAATAACTGTATCGTCCATACACCTTGCACTGCTGCCATCTGTAATAGTTGAATGGTGATATTGAATATTGATCATTAAACAGAAGTGGTTAAGAAATGCAATAATTGCTTTCATGCAGGTTTTTATAAATAATGGTGTTACAAGCCACACAATCAGTACCTAAATAGTCCTCACAAACGTTGACATAGTTCGTCATTGTGTTGAAAATAAGAGATTGAAAAGTCTGATCCTTATAGCTGTATATGAATCTAAAACAATTTTAGTAAATTACAATCTTTATCTTAAGTACAAGCTTAACTTGCTACACATAATGAACTTACAGCTACAGCATTTTGCTTTTTATCGATTAATCCACTAAAGTTGAGAACCAATCCAACGATTGAAATAACAACTCCGACGCCGGTCGTATAAAGAAAAAATTCCTGTCTACCAAGAGCGCCTTGTTTATATGATTCTGAATTAGAATCGTCAATATAATCAACGGATTCTTTTGTGAAGAAGCCAACAGATACCAAACCAGCGACAAGTGTAACCTGCAAAGTAATAAAATGGATTTATATGGAAGTTTTCTTGAGAGAATTTTACATCTACCTTCTACAGTGACAGCCATTTTTCTACGATAAAATATAATGCATATTTAAGTTCGGGGAACTGAAGTACTTCATGTATGGGTATTAATGTGCAAACATAATATATATTCAGTAAACATAGAATTATGACTCATACTTACAATTTGAAAAATTTTAAGAATGACCGATGATACAGTTAAGCTCATCGTTTGATCTAAAAGAGTAAAATGTAATTAAACTTAAAAAAATGGAATGGACATAATTCTGCTCTCTCCCGTCTTTTTCTCGACAGATTAAACATGTTTTCTTTCTCGAAAGTGCACATTTAATTGACTATGTAGATTTCTATTATTCAATTCTTACTTGCAGTTTTTTAATCTTTGGAGTAGCTATTTTAACCACTTAAAATTAAGGCTATCCATTGCTTAGGAATATGACCTATTTTGCAATGCGTACCCGATTTGCAGCTTCGAGACACTTGAGTTGTACGTAGAGCTTGTCCTGATGTGTCTCAACGATATTTTATCTATTTATGATTTAAGGCTTCTTTTAACCAGTTCTTTGTACGAGGTTTGATAGTGATGATGTGTCAACCGCAAATCACGTCACAGTCAATATTACCCCACATAGTTAGCAAAGGAGTGAGGCTGCAGATGTTTTTTGCTTTCAACCAGACAACTTCCTGTATTCCACAAACAAAAAAGAAAAGACATCAAACGTCACCTGTGGAACATAAGCATGCAGATTCACACGTAGCACATAATAAATTATAGATAATTGATTAGCCATCTCCAGTCCGCGTTCCTTTTGATCAAAAACGCAATTGACTAGCTGGCTTATTGGAAACTCATGAGTAGCAAGACTTGTATTTGACAGAAAATGTCAATGGAGTGTTTCCTATACAATATGTTGTAACGTTATGTAAAGTAGTAAAACATGACAGATGATAGGCTACTGGATATACGACTAAATGACCGCATAAATGATAAATGCGTGGATAAATGGAGGATAAGATTAGGGTACAGTTTTGGTTATGAATTTTAGTTAACTATCATATTTTACGCAAAAATTTCTGGAAGTGTTTTTATGTGGTGGGGTATTTTACCTTTTTGAGGACAGATTATATTTTCATCAAAAACGATATTGTGTTGTTAAGACACAAAGAAAACTGACGTTAGAAACATCTTCAGATTTCCTGTTTTCAGTCAATTTAAACATTCTTAATCTTCCGGAATTCCAAGATGCGAAAGAAACATCTGGATCTTTTTTTGTGTACATAAGTTTTAACCTCAGCGTCTTTGGTACCAGACTTTCTCATACGAAACCGGATTTGGAAAAACATGGCGTTCAAAACCTTTGACTTCTTCACCAAATATCATGCTCATAAGCATTCCTGCAGGAACACATTTGCTATTTTTTGAAATACAATAAATGTTACATAAACATGTGCAGTTGTAGATGCAAAGACATGTAGTCTTTATCTCTCGATCAATTGCATGATTGAAGTACAATCTATAAGTTCCAAATTTTTAGGTCATATGAGTTTCGAGTGACGTCTTGATCGTTTACACAATTCTTACTGCAGGTCAATAAGTGTGTAAAGCACGATGTCATTAAATTGAATTCATTGGTTTCTTTTCATCAGATATATGCACTGGTATCAGTTCTTCCCTCTTGCCACTCGCTGTTTCAAGAATCCTCTGGGTTTTAAGCATAAAAGTCCCAAGATTCTTTAAACCATCCCAAGAAATACCAAATTTTTCTGAAATACCAAATCCTGGCCAGAAATTCAGTGCCAGGCGGAAAAAGAATTTTAATTATGAATATAGTAGCCCAATATTGGACTTTGAATAGAGGACATTACGAAAATAGAATATTGGAAATAAAGATTTTTGTTTATTGATCCCATTGTGCATATTTCTCATTGTATCTGAAGATGTCTTTAAGATAGACACGAGACGTCATCAATACAGAAACCTTTTATCTCGAAATCATTTTCTTAATGGCTCTGTTAAAGTTTTACGTTGGGCAACAATGTTCGTAATGAAAATTCTGCGATACATTTCAACTTTTTGCAGGCCGCCATGTTTTCTTCATCGATTGCTGACGATGCAATATGACAGTACTTCTTTAGTGATCAAAAAGTTTCAACCTAATTTTGAGGCGAATAACTGAGGTCTCACCCCTTTAGATACAACGCAGGATTTTCTATACGGCAACGGTTTTTGCAAAAATTGCTTTATTTCTTTAACAATGACACCCCGAACAAGAATCACAAAAACACAGAGTCAGTATTTTAATATAACCAGACGAACGTTAGAATAACAGCTATAAGGGCTTAAAAGAATGTCAGTTTACGTAACCACGTGATTGTAAACATGCATAAAAATTTCATGTGATTATCAATTACAGCATCAAATGGCACATAAATACGTTACACATTTTGGATAAGCTATCCCCTTAAGAAAATTTCACATTTGATTTCATATATGAAATTATTATTTACGAAACATCGAAAATACTTTTTTTGATAAAAGAAGACATGTCTATATTGATACTGTATAAATAAGTAATAATTTTGTTGCGTTTTATGTCAGAAATCAAAAAGTGCGGAGACATGAGCAGTTCGCACTACAAAGAGAAATCTCTTAATCAACAGTAAAGACGAAAATTCTTATTTTTATTCAAATGCATGCTTAATGATGTAACAGTTACTTTACATGAAAATGTTACAATAACCTAAATGACACAAAAATATTAGTTTTTGTTTGTTGGTTGAGGACTAAATGCGATAAATTTGCTTCCATTTTAACTTTGTTCCGTAGAAGTTGCGAAAGTGAAAATAGCATCCACTCCATACAATATGGTGGCAATAAAACCAGAGACCTATGAAAGATAATAAAAGTATTTACACTCTTCTTCTCATCAAGAATCACTATATGAACGAAACTACAATTGCAAAGTTTGCCTTCACAAAATGTAAAATAAACTGTTCAACTTACGATTCCACCAATCATTTGACCACAGGTGTTATCATTTTTCCAAATTGCAGCGTCATCCCAAACTTCACACAAAGACTTGCCTGCTAGAAGTAAGTCCTCGTCCTTGTTGTACGAAGAGAAGACAACGGTTATTAGGCAGGTGGTGACCAATAACTGTATCGCCCATACACCTTGCACTGCTGCCATCTGTAAAAGTGGAATGGCATTTTTCACCATTAAACAGAAAGAAAAAGGCACTCCATATGAAAGGGTTGAGAATAAACCTCGGCAAACTTAAATACTATATTATACTTATATATGCAGCAAAGAATTTGACAGAACTGATTTACAGATGTAAACTTTGTAAGAAATACTCTTTATGTAGTCTTAAACATAATGAACTTACAGCTACAGCATTGTGCTTTTTATTCATTAATCCACTAAAGTTGAGAACCAATCCAACGATTGAAATAACAACTCCAACGCCGGTCGTATGGAGAAAAAATTCCTGTCTACCAAGAGCTCCTCGTTTATATGCTTCTGACTTTGCATCATCATAAATATCAACGAACACTTTTGTGAAGTAACCAACACATCCTAAACCAGCGGCAAGTGCAACCTGAAATATGTAAAAAGAAGGATTTATGTAAGTTTTCTTAAGAGAACTTCATCATTTATATTGTTATGCACGTGTAGTATTTCAGTGAGCGATAGCGATGTACTATATTACAAAAATTAATTTATAAATAATACTTACAATTTGACAAATTTTGAGAATGACTGATGGTAAAGTGAAGCTCATTGCTTGATCTGAAAGAGCAAAACGTACTAAACGTTCTTCCAGTGATCAAAGGCGTAACTAGAACGTTAATTGGGAGAGTGTATATTCCTATATTGAGGTGTGCCCACCTGATTTCTTTTGAAATTCAAATTACTTTCAAAAGAAATCAGTAGGGCACAAAGGAATATATGAATATGCACCCCCCCAAATTAATGTTCTAGTTACGCCACTAGCAGTGATCATTTGAAAACTATATTTAATTACGAAGTGGATGTCCACTGTTGACCCTCATCTCTTAAATATATATAGTAAATATTTTGTATTAAAATCATAATCCCTAAAACACTGAAAACGAAGGCTACCATGCATTATTCGAAAAACTGCTTCATAACAATTTAAAGTACCTGTTTTTTCGAGACTCTTGCTTTTAGTTGTTGAGTGTTGTCTTTATGTGTCTCAACGGTAACTTATCTATTTACGAATAAAGGTTGGTTTCAACCAGCTTTTTATATGGTATGGTAATAAGTATATGTCACCGAGTTGTCAATTGTCCTACGGAAATCTTTGTCATAGTGAATATCCTACCCCACTACTACATAAAAAAGTGAGGAGGTTGACGTTGTTTGTTGTCAAACAGACAACTTGATACAACAAGCAAACTACGACATAATAACGTCACCATTAAAACATGAACATGCACATTTGCACGCAGCACATACTGATTAATGCTGAGTGAACTTGATCTATGTATTTTATGATATAATATATATCTGACTATATATTTGTAACATATAAGTAAACACAAAGACTATTAAAGATTATAAAATATCAAGTAAAAGACTAAAATTTTGTCAAACTCGGAATCATTTAGTTAGTTGACTGCACACTTGCTTAATGCCTGTCGTATTACAATCAAATACCTTAACTATTTGACACACCTGTAATTTTTTGGAAAATCTCCTCAAATTAGTCGCGACGACATAAATAATTGCCACAATACAAAATACCTATCTACAAAAATTCTGACAGAATTAAAGGAGTTTAGAATTAGTGTTGGTGTTAATATTCTTCTTTGGGTTTGATTAGATATACCATCATTTAAATACACATCAATTGTTTTATGCATGTGTAGATGCATGTGTTGTATATTGTTTCTAATAAATGCGCTCATGCATGATTTTCTTGTATTTTGCTTTTATCCTATAGAATTTCTTTTTTGGAAAAATGCAAGCTGTTACTGAAACGCAAACCGAGCTATATGATGTTAAAAAGTCACCGGATTTCTCGTTTTGTGAATTATTAGAACTTTCTATCTTCTTTCTCAGATGAATTCCGTGGAGGAACTTCCATCAATTTTTCGTGTTCCTGTTGTTTCGTACTTACGTCAGTTTTCAGTCATGTTCTCTTTAACATTTCTTTGTTTTAAGTACGTTTTGTAAGTTCTTTGTTTGTTTAGGTAGTTGTTCCTTTTTTGTTGCAACACGTGAGAACTTGAGACGCAATGAAAGAGCGAGTCCTGCTAATGACGTAAAAGGAAAGCTCGACTTTAATTAACTCTAATATATAGCGTAAAAATACTCCAGTGATGTACTTGTAGCTTGTTGTTTAGCTTGTGAAATAAAAGTTTCAAAACGAAGAGTGTTAGTGAACCAGCTGAGGAGCGGATTCCTCGATAATATGATTCTTTCAACAAATCCAACGACATTGTTGCTTATTCATTCTTTACAAGCGTTAAAAGTAAAGGCGTAAACATCAACTAGTAATAACAGATTTTAATTTCAGATTACTGAATTTAAACCTTTTAAATAGTAAAATTGGACGAAAGCATGCAATTTCTCTTATCCAATGTATCAAATATGTAAAATATTTTCCCCACAGTTTCAATTTTCTCTATCAATTTTTCATCTTGTGAAAATCATAAAAAATAAACCTTTTGCCCCATAGCTATCCTTTTTGTTTGTATTGAATGTTTAGTTTAAATTGAATGATTTTTTGTTTGTTCTAATGAATATTGCAAAGATTTATCAATATATTGCACCGTGTTATTGAACGTTTGTTTTTGTTTAATGCAGGGAAAAGGCGCAAATGCAATGATGCATTCGGAATTGAAAAAATGGATATCATGTAAGCAAGCTTGCACAGCTAAAAGATAGGACCCAAATTTAAAGTCGCAAAAATAGCAACTCGAGACACTAAACGCCCACGATTCTTCATATTAAATACTGCCAGCAAAGTCGTAAAGATTCTTAACTTTTTCACAAACCATTTTTCTGGCTTTCATATGCGCATTTTGATACATTTAGCATACATTCTGATTCTCTATACACTTGACAAGCTATGATGTAATACAAATGGTAGATAAGATGGTGCTTCCATAACTCAATTATTTTAATCCATTTCCATCTTACACCAAGAAGATAACCACTCCTTTCCATTCTTCAAAGCTCCATCTCGGCCGTTTCAAATTCATTGCCCGAATCAATCGCAACGACACTCAGCCAACAGTGAAATGATGAATCAACAATATACAGGATAAATGCAGTAAAGGCAAATACCTAATAATAAAATTATTCGATTTGTTTGACTTTCATTTTTCCACATTTGAAATACACAAACCGTAATTGACATTTGAAAGTTTTTAGAATTAAAATATCGAATTACTGCATAGTGCATACAGTTCATGGGTTGATTTACTCTTTAGAATTTACTTTTCATGGAAATTCTATGGTAATTTAAGCGACCTTAACATGTTGATATTTCTGCAGAGCGCGCACTCTATTTCGATATGTATCATAAAACTGTGATCATCAAGTCCACTCTCTCTTACATTTGTAGCATGCCTTACCACGGCGACAACAAGATTATTGCATTCAATATCTTTATGAACAGACTTCCAAGAATCGCAAAGACCCGAAGCTTTATATGATCTCGTATTATCGGCCAAAATACCAGAAGAGATCAACAACATTACGGTGAAAATGACATCGATTATTGCCATCTAAAAATCATTTATAACGAAGAATTATTTATAATATCATTCAAAGCTGATCTCAACAACACAATTATATTGATTATGAGCTGGTTGATTAGGCACGGTAAGTTGATTGGCCATTGTAATTTTTACTCATCTAATCTCTTTTAAAAAAACGCTAGATCACTTTTCATATGGATGGAAGACTTATCTACATGTTATTATGTAATAATCTTGTCTCAAAAACGTTAAGTATACATTCAATACATTTGGTCTCTTGAACAAGTATATACTGTTTCTCATACCACTAAAACCCAATTTACTTGGTGAAGAATCTTGTGTCCGCCAACAGTGAAGAAAAGAAACGAGACTATGGTGAAAATCCACGTGCACGCCACGCAAAATATGAAAAAATTCCACGTGCCTCGAGTGTTGTTCAAAGTGCTCATAAAAGCTGCGATACATGACAGAGATATCAAGAGCGCCACCTTTTTTGTTTTTAAAATGATAGAGAAATGTATTAGTAAGGAACAAATGATAAATAATGTGGCATATGACTGCATTACTGACGTTACTGGGAGTGAAAAACAACTGCGTGACCCCTATTTACCTTGTAATTATCCTTATTTATCTCATCATGATCCCTATTTGTTTTGTCAAAATCTCCCTATATTTATTGTGATTTTCCTCATTTACTTTGTTTTCAGTTGTGATGATCCCTATTTATCTCTTTATGTTCCTTGTTTATGTTTTGATAACCCCCGTTTATATTGCCACGATCCCCACTTATCTTGTTATGATCACAGCGATGTTTTCTATGCTATGATGCAGACCTTTATACAAGCCTTTAAATAACTTACAAATTCGAATATTTTTCAAATTCCTGGAGGGGAAACGATGAACTGAAAGCCTTGACCAATTTCCGTTTTGTCAGATTTTCTAAAAAGGAAAAAGTAATTATGTGTTCATCAAGAGGACATTGGATGTCTACTCTTTTTATTGACTAAAGCTACGGGCTTTTTTTCATGAGTTTTTAAAAACGAAGTGTGATACATATTGTACGTCATCTAAGGTCAGTGTTGGCAGATGAAATTTTAAAATATTCATGCTCGCTTGCATCAAAAGTTCACTAACATGGCAAAAAGTTCATATTACATCAAATTTTTAAGATCGGAAGTTAACGGATTAACTCGGAAATTCTTCGGAAATTCTCGGAAGTATCTGGAAAACATCGGATTATCTTAAAATTATCGTTGTTTTGAAAGAACTGTCGAGCTATGAAGATTTTATTTTCATTGAACTATGATTTATCTATACATTCTTTATGAAAATGATGAAAATACAAAAATGCTTTCTTCACAAACTTTTAATGTTCATGAAATGTTCATGAAGAGAGCAAAAAGTTCACAAATCCTTGAACTTTGTTCACAATCTGGCAACACTGTCTAAGGTATTTGAGCGATCACAACCAATCAGATCCCAACAACAAACACTACCATAATCTGATCTGTATAAAATTTCTCTGATCTTAGAAGAAAAGTTAACCACAATAAGAATAACAAATTTACTGTCTGAATATACCAGTTCGCAAGATTTGCTTGTAAAAAATGTTTTGTTAGTGCCGAGTCGTTCTATTTTAGGATTGTGACCTGCAGATAGAGTACAGAATTTAATGAAAGTACTTCAACACTTTAGCAGCAGCAGTTTTAGTAAGAATTGCTGTGTTTGAAATATTTAATTTTCAAATTTGATAATAAGACTGGCAAGGTTTAATTTTGACGTGCAGCCCGTAGAAAAGTTAGAATAAGGAAGCTCCTCCTCCCCTCGCCTACGTTTTCCTGTTTGAAAAAAAATTGAAACGTATATATGTCAAAAAACTTTTTTCGATAAAAGAAGTCATGTCTATATTGATGCTGTATAAATAAGTAATAATTTTGTTGTGTTTTATCTCAGAAATCATAAAAGTGCAGAGACATGAGCAGTTCGCACTACAAAGACAAATCTCTTAATCAACAGCAAGGAGGAAAATTCTTATTTTTATTCAAATGCATG